GATAATATATGACCCTTGTGGCTCTTTATTAAATTAATGGGTCATAAGAAATGGGTAGATTGAGCTTAAAGCAATAGTCTGTAACTCTAAATGAATTACAAATTTTAGGAAATGGGTTAAATTGACCTCCTGGCCTTAAATTGTATTGTATGTACTTTATTTGAACGGGGACAGTGTACAGTTAAGCATTAACACAAAAGGATAGATGCATGTACCAGGTTATAGCAAAGAATTTGCTAAGCTTTGCTATAACCTGGCTAATTTAATTTAAAGCTAATTTTCACCTGTAGTCCCTGGGCAGGCTGGTGTTATGTTCATTTAAACTGATTACAATGTAGATGGATACATGACTGTGTCTTACATTTACAGGCTTTAAATAACATCATTCACAAAACATTAAGTTTAATAACAATAAATAAAGCTCCGCAACTTCTACTAGAATATTACCCTCACTCACTCACTCACTCACTTGTGCGTGCAAACTTGCTTTTTCAGAAGCCATTTCCTAGTCAGCCAAGAAAATGTTTTAAATGTAGTACACGCAATGATCTCTGTGGGGAAGGCTCATGGCCGTCACCAAAAAAGCAGATTTAGCAAAAGTTGTTCTACATTTTTTAATATGTTTGAAATGTTGAAATAAGTCATTTTTTAAATTCTAATATTACAGGTAAGTCCCGCCTTCCCCTCTCTTAGCTAGAGTTCAGAATCCACGGTGCCGTCGAGGTTAACCAATCGAGTCATGCCAAGGGCTGTCAATCATCGGCGCTGATGCTCGTAGCTGCGCGCATGCTCAGTTGTTTGTTTTCGCGGAGCCTCCGAATCAAGCCTCCATTAGGCTCTGGAACTACATGAAAATTGAAAAAATAATTCTGAACATCCGCGCTGAGGTACTTATTTACATACCGAACCTATATCCATAATCAGATCCTCTGCAGATGTGTCCTATAATGTGCAATTCATGATAAAAGCACTTCCGGGTTTTCCGCGATCGCTTTTTTTGTGCATGAAAACATATTTTTTTTCATTAAAACTTTAACAAATAATTCTGAAAACCTCCGTGCATGTGTATTAATAATGTACATGTATAATGTGTTCTCTGATTAACATTTAAAAGTGTTACAGAAAATGTAGGTGTAGACCAATCAGAAAGGAAGGGGGAGGGAGCTTGCGTCGTTTTTCAAATCAAGTACCTCTCTGTCTCTCTTTCTGACAAACTCCAGACAATCACTTTAAACTATGTAACACTAGAAACCGTGTCGCTTCTTCCCCTTGTGCCCCTTGGTCCCAGCCCTTTTGTGCAGCGTCAGTAATGTTTTCTCATCAATGGCGAGGTAAAAATGTGACCATTCTGATTCTGATTCTTCAGATATACAGTATCCACCATTTGTTGTTTTAGAATGTGAAAGAACACATCACATTCAGTTGAAAATATATGATGAAACGAGAATCAAATGTAAACAAATGCTATCGGCTTGCCCTACCCTTCTATCACCAGTGGGAGGAATAGATTTTCTTAAGCCTTTTTGTTCTAATTTGAAAACTACAATCTGCACACAAAAAAAGAACAGCAGTACAAAGCATGTAATATCACTGGAGTTGTTTAAAACTCAGATAAATACTCTGAGCTCCAAGCCTCCTGGGGGAAATGACAAAGTCTGGGATCGTGTCTTTCAGACAGAAGACATTTTATTGTCGTTATATTGCCGATGCTAGAGACAGGCAAGAACAAAGATTCATGCATGTGATAATATACAGCATGGAGAAATGGAGACCTCCCATCAGTATTTGCCACGATGCCAGTGGCTTCGGCCTTGACATAACCATAACATGTAGTGGAAAAGTACTGCCATGTGCATTGTTAGAATGTTGAGTTTAACTTTAAACACAGTTGCTTCAGAATGTCATGATATCTCCAAACTCCATTTAAATATTTAGACAGATAGATACTTTTTTGATCCCCCATTTTTTGAAAAGTGCTATACAAGTAAAGATTTATTATAGGAGAAATCCAAGTGTCGAGTAGCAGCAGAAACACATCCATCCATACAAACAAAACAAATAAATGCATAATTCTAAAAGTGCAGTAACGTTTACAGGTAATAACAATTGCAAAGCACAAAACTGTTTCAGAGCTACTTAGAACTTGCGGCCGTTTCCAGCGCATTCAAACATGGTTTTTGTTTTACTTTAAAACACATTAAAACCATTATGGCTGAAATATGACGCCTGACGCACAACAGCCAGCGGATGTGTAACCGCGATGGAATATAATTAATTAAATGAGACTAATTAGGAGACACAGGAGCAGGTGCCAGGCTAGAAGCTGACAGGGACGACAGCGAGACAACATGCCAGCGCAAAAAACAGCAAAGCAAAGTCACGCACACACACATACACATACGGCCAAAGCGACTACACATTCGCGGTTAGGAGGAGCGCGCCGGTGACAGGCGTGGGGACACAACAACTTTGGGTGTTTTTGTCATGCGAAAGCCCGGAGGAATACCGCTGACAGGAAGCAGAGACCCAGGCGTCGTGGGGGTCTCCTGGCTTTGTCTCCCTTCAGCACACACACATACGCACACAGGCGCTATAGGGCTTTATTATTTTGTTCTGCAATGGTGGAAGGAAGTTTGCACAAGCCACGGATTTCTCCCTTTCGCCCTAATTATTTCGCCGCATTCGCATTGACTGTGTTGGGAGGTAGTTTTTTTCACGGCAGGCAGTGTTGGGGGGAAAGTGGATGTAGTGGAAAGTGCATTGGAGATTTGTGGTCAAGAGGGACAAATGGTGCGCGCTTAGAGTGGAGATGCGTCAATTCGGCTTTTTGGGTTCTGATGCAAAGTTTGACGGCCAATGATTTTGACTTACGGCGCAAAACAGCCTGTGTAAAGTTACTCATTAAAAGTATACCTTTTGGTTTTAGTCATTCCTAGAAATAGATTGTTGGTTCTAATTCAAAGAGTTTCACAGCTTAAAGTCATGAAGTAAAATGTCAGTCATTAAAAGTATACGTTTGGGTTTTTAACGTGCATTCTGGTGAATAGTCATATACGTCCGTTGTTGCGATGATAGCCACCCGTACACTTTGCTCAATCATCATTTCACAGCATGTAACGTCTGGGTCTGGTCCCCATGTTAACAATCGGTTGAATTTCGACCGACAAATCAGCGAGCACGGGAGGTGGGTGTTGTAGTTATTTGTGGGTGATGTCAAGAGTTTGCGTCAAACGGGCAGGTTGTAGTTTGGCAATGGCGAAAAATGCGATAGTAAAATAATCCGGTCTGGTTCTATCAAGATATTGAAGCCGGAGCAAGAATACTGTTTAACAAATGTAATCGCTGGAAAAAATTGTGGGGCTACTCCCGACGGGCTCCGTTAGCGGCAAAGGTGATGGCTAGGCTAAATGCTAACGACTCATTCAGGCGCACTACAAACTCAGATCCAATCGTTTCAATCTGCAAAAGGAGTTAACCCCTCCCAACTATTAACGGAGCTCAATGGAGCGCCTCCCGACCTTAGTATGAAATGTAATTTGTACTATGGTGTGGTACGACCAGGCTATGCATTTTTAGACCTTCTTACGCTGTTGGTGTTGAAGTTTGATAATTAAAGGCAAAGGAACAGTTGCAGTAAAAAGATGGCCAGTTTTAGCACCATTCTACTTTCCACCTTTAGTCCTTGACAACACAATCAAATAAATTGCATAATAATATACAGTTCAACTTAAAAGTGCAGGTTACTGAAAAAACATAAAAAGGGGCAAGTGAGTAAAATGCATATTAACATACAGCTTCAATTAAAAGTGCAAGTTACTAAAATGCATATTAAAATAAAGTTCAATAAAAGTGCAAGTTGACCAAGATACATATTAACACAGAGTTCTATAAGGTGCAATACAGTTACAAAAAATACATGTTGACATTTTAGACACGTTTCGACTTTTCACCGCGGGGAAGACAGGAACATGTGAAAATAAAAGGGTCAAAAAAACGTATATTATATTACGTTATAATGAACAACGGCAAATTCATCATCTGCATGGAGCAATACTTACATTGTCAAACATATTGGTTACTAGAACGACTTCATGAAGGAAAGAGAAGCAGGAGCAAGAGCCAGAACTTTGAAGGTACAATAAGTTGATTTTTGTTACACGGCTTGTTATTTTTCATTATGCAAAGTATTGTCCGTCATGTAACTTCTTCAACTTCTTCACCTGAGCCACCTATAAGCAACGGCTAGAAAAGAGTTTAAATTACCCTGATATTTGATCGTTGTGTTCCCTCTGAGCACGCCTCAGCAACAACACTCCACCCACCAGCAGAGCTCAGCGTGTAAGGAAGAGGCGACCCAGGGTTTTAAGATGAAAAAACTGAGAACTTACTTCTTCTTCTCCACGATACTTAACATAGTGACAAGTACGCTGTTTTATTATGAACACAAATTTGATATCACCAGTCAATCTTGTCCGCACAAAACTTCCACATACATGAGCACCAATCCTTCCAACGATTTCCGACAGCCGTTTGCCTACAACGTCCACCCAGCAAATTCCTCACCAGTATTCACAGCTCACCCAGTAAAGCATGACATTACATCCGAATACCACAAATTCAACAACAACAATCGCACTTAGGCAGCTGCGATCAAAAATTAGATCCGCTCCCGTTATCGCAATTCTCTCTCCACGCTGGCTGGATTTTGTTTAGGCCTATTATCCGAGCCAATCCCTCTGACTGTCACTTACCCCCGCGTCCAGGTATAGAATGTCCTGCCCTCCTTTGCCAGCTCTTGATTAAAATGTTGACTTTTTGCAGGGTAATAAGCTGATTAATGTAATTGAATGTAAAAGGGCGTAGCTCAGCAGCCCTGTTGATCAGCCGAGATGGATTGGGAGAGAAGGCTTTCAAATTGAGTACAGTTCTCCCTCCTCAGCCTGTTAATTGTGCCGTTTACCACTACCTGAGTCGGTGACCAGTGCTATTTAGTCTCCCTAATGATGATGCACAGTCCGACCCGACCACAGATAATTAAAAAAGCTCGCAGCAGCAGCCCCGCACCCACCTCCATCGCTCTCTTCGCCCTGTCTCCGATGCGCATTGACAGGGAGCCGCGAGGCCGGGATATTGAGCTGTCCGCCCGGCTGGAGTCAGAGGGCTGCTATAGGAAGGGGAAGCACTCTGCGTTTAAATCCAGCAGCAAAGGTTAGACAGAAAGGACAAAAAATATCCAAGGAGGTGATTGTGGCGACTGAGATGGGACCAAACTATTGATGAGTGAGTTCAAGATTCATTCATTTTAGGGACATTTGCCTTGGACTCACGGGTTGTCACATACACACAAGACATAGAACATAGAACACAATACAAGAATGAAACAAACCATCACCGCTCTGCTGTTTGAGAACAATCTCCTCTAATATTCTCTGGAGCTTAATGCTGGATGCACTGATCTATTGAGTTCTGATTTTGTTTTAACAGTCACATTCCCAAACCACACACACACACACACACACACACACACACACACACACACACACACACACATTCTATGCTTTCAATCACAGCAGGATGAAATAAGGTCATTCTTTTCTGTTCATCTCTAAGATTCCACACTTTCTCTAGCATTGATCTTAAGTAGCAACATATTGTGATAAAATTGGGCATGGCCATTTAAATCATGAATAGGAAACAAAGACATGCTTTGGCAGCCTGTCTAGTTGAGGGGGGGGCCTCAACAGGCCATCTCCAAATCATTATCCAAAATAGTTGGATAGTCAGTCAATCCATTAGTCAGTAATGAGGCTGTGAAGGTGTTGCAGTGGCCATGGGGCAACAGGGTTGCCATAAGTATTGAAAATCAGATAATACAAATATTATTAAAACTACATTCAGTTTAGTTCATTTATTTGAGCTCAGAGCGACACACATATACATACAACAAAGAACTCAAAAGGAGAAGGCAGAAGTAAAGATTACTTATAAGTGCAGAGAAGTCAGAGAAGTTCATTCATACATTTGAGAATTACTTGAGATAAGAGTAATACATAAATACACAACTTGCAACAACACAACATTTCACAATTCAAGGGAACTTATACATTTTGAGCTATAGAAAAGAACTTGTATAGAATCTTGCAACACAATAACTAGTATTTATAACGGTGATCCCTGTTTCTTTCAGGGGTCACAATCAATAATAACCTTTAGTGATCTAATTCCTTGAAATAGTTGCTGTATGTTAAAGGCTATAAAAACCCTAACCCTAACTCTAACCATCTGAACTGATGACTGCTGAAGTGTAATTGCGGCGATATCAAACCTGTTCATAGTAGGTCAGCAGAATCCTCTGCATACACTGTAAAATACAGCTGCAGAGGGCCAGGAGCTGGACTGAGGTCTACAGGAAGACCGCAGTAGTCCTAAGGCCTGTCCATGCTCAATCCCAGAGCATCCGTATTGGACAAAACTAATAGTAATTCTCACTCTGGGTCTAACAATTCTCCTACTGGTGGTGACTATGCCAGATATATGACAATATATTTCATTTAAATTGTCATCTAAACGCAATATAGGTTGCGTTTAGATGACATCACAAGTTCCCAAGAGCATATTTAACATTGTGCTGCAAGTACTTACTTAGTACTAACTATTTTAGCTGAAATTTATGAGCCTATCCACATGAAATAAAAACTGTCACAATATTTTACATCTTCTTTGTCAGTCCATATTAACTATGGTCTCACTAATCTCTCAGAAAATATGTCTACGAGTACTGACAATATTGAAAAAAAACAATATTGTTCTTCAGATATAATAATAAAATGGCGGTTGGTGAAACTAATCACTGGGAAAACATTGACCTTTTTCTTTCTTTCTTTCAAAAACAGCTTACTTCCCACAGAGAGTGGCACCTGCCCTCCAACTGAAATCCAATTCTACAACATGCATGCAAACTATGGAATACGTTATTACAGAAAAAATACATCATACAACAGGGTAATATAGATTCTTTTAAATAGGAAATCCAATTGAAGTTACTGACATCACCTTTAATTTGGTGAAAGGAAAGTTGTCTTGCGTCCGCTCAACAGAAGTAGTTTTTATGGGCATGTGCTTACCTTACAACCGCTGCTGTTGCCTTTGCTGACTGATCGCTGACTGCACAACCAAAGTGAAGCTAATTTACAAGAACCTCTGGCTAAGCAGTAGTTCCTCACCCACTTTCTCCCACTAACAGGGGAAGAAAAAATCAATTCTCAACCATTTATGACAGTGGTGTCCGTTGCAGTTATTTTTGCTTTTATCCACGCAGATTTTGCATTTTTTTGTTGTTGTCCATTTGAGTCGCGTGACGGTCAGAGAGTCTGAGGGGATTGCGTGTTGATTAATGGCGGGAAATTGGTGTTGTCCAGCGCATAATGAGTGAAGACAGAGGTGAGAACGGCTCAATAGCACAGATAACCACTCTTTGATCCGAACGGTCATGCACAACTTGTTCTGCTGGATGGCCAGAAAGTGCGCTGTCAAACTACTCCTCGTCTCCTCATAAAGTTTCAAGACAAACAAATTCAATTGGAATGTGTTGTAGACCCAGATGATATATTTGTAAGCGGCTCGGCCGTTTCAGCAGTCCAAAGCCAGGATGAACTGGATACATTTGGGAACTGTCATCAAAATATGGACAAATTGAATGTTGATGTAATCCACTATTGGCCAAAATTTGAAAATTGAAAATTTCAATAATACCAAATGGAATACTTACAAAGGAGATGTTGATACTTGTTACAGTGCAATTATCTAAAATTCTGATTTAATATATGTAATAATAATATGTAAAAGGAATATCTACTATAATAATTAGTTTGTGTTGCAATCATCTCCTGTTAACACGCATTGTTAAGCCGGTCACAATAACTAATTTGGACAGTCAATTTCAAAACAATCAAAGTAATTTTTCAATATATAAATGTCAGCTGAGAAAATGTATTTGGCATTCTTTCCAAACTGGTCTGACTCCTCTGCTCCCAGGCAACATACAGAAGGTAACTTTGCCTTCACACTCAAACTTTGGATTTGTAATTGTAGCTAATATAGCTAACTGTATTAGCACACTTTTGGCAAATGTAATCACGCAAAATCTTGTTTATTTTTAGCATTTAAATTTCACACAGGCTCAAGTCAGCACAAGTCATTTCTGCAGCGCAATTTTACCCACCATTTTTAAACATAACAAAACCAAAACAAAACCATGAAAGACGAGCAGAGGGACCGTGTACTTCAATGATTACAATGAGTGGGTCACCTAAATGAGACTAAAAACATACATTTATTAAAAAAAAGCCTGCCTTTTCCGGCACGGTGGCTGAGTGGATAGCACTCTCGAGTCTCGAGTTTGCATGTTCTTCCCATGTCTGTGTAGGTTTCCTCCGGGTGCTTCGGTTTCCCCTACCACTAAAACATGCACAATAGGTATGAATGTAAATGAGAGAGTGAATGGATGGTGTTGATTGGGGGCTGATGCGCCAGAGTGTTCGGCGACTTGCTTCCGTCATCACCGTGTGTGGAATGATTGGAACATTATCTGAACTCTGAACATTGTAAAGCGCTTTGGGTGACCTTGGTCTGTAAAATGCGCTATATAAATAAACATTTCTTACTTACTACTTACTTTCTTTTCCATGCGCTCTAAAATGCATCTGCTGGCCGCGTCTCAGTAGGATCCGGTGTAGAAATGGTTTGATTCAGTTAGGCCAAACAGACTAGTTTTTCACACCTGAACAGATGCATTCAAGGTTTACACAAGTCTTGCTCAACCGATTTAAATTGGACAAGGCGAGTTATCCGGTTTTCGCGATACGGCACATACAGTATTGACGCACTTAATAACATCCGTAGATCATTATTGGCAGAAAAAGCACAATATGTCTTCATTGCGTGACAAGCTGAGATGGGAATTTTCAATGAGGATATTATCAAAATAAAAAATCATGGACATACTTTTATCATCACCTCAAAACAGAAATTCTGAAGCCGTGGACAGACCTTCCAAAGCAGTGAGCCAAAACGATTCCAACAAAGAACATTCCGATTATCGACTGCTTACACTCTATTAGACCAAATCAAATATAATAGTCCCATCTTAAGCAAATGATCAAAACATTAGCCTGTCTAAGTCAAACGCCATATTCGGGCCTAAGTGGATCCATCTGAACTCCAGACGCCTTGTTAAATTGAGACCTTGTTCCCCGGTGGACTCGAGTGGTAGAACACATCCCGCAGCCCTTGACAAGCAATGTTAATCCATTTAGTGTAACGAACTAACATGTCCCTAATTAAAATATGCCTTTTAATGATACGTCCTGACATCCCGCACAACACTGTCACGCTCCCCTCCGTTAATACAAGAATATGCTAATTGGTGGAGTAGCGGCGGCGGCGGCGTTGAAATCCCCAAGCTCCGTCCATGTCCACTGGGAGAGTGGGTCTCCTGGAACCCCCTCCCCACAAAGAGTGACTTTTATGGGCCTCTGTTCTCTGGGATGGGTTTGTGTGGGCTGCAAAAGGTAACGCGGACTCACTCCAGACAGTTTTATTCAGTTTGGTCCCGTTTGTTGCATGAGAACTTAAAAAGTGAATGGGAAGTGTATTATTAGTATCATTTTACTTTAGCTTTTTAAAGTAAAATTACTTTTCTTTAAAAACACAAAAACTGAGTGTACAGTGGTCCCTCATTTATCGTGAGGATTTTCTTGTAACTATAAATTGCAAACTAAATCCGCATCACAGTCTGCAAAGAAGCAGTTAAATGTTTTAAGGCTGTAAAACCCTTCACCACACTCTGTATACACTTTTCTAACCACCTGAACTCACAACTGCTGAAATGCGATCACAGAGATATCAAACCTGTTCGTTGAAAGAACATCTGCAGTACTGAAGGTTATGAGAAGACCACAGTAGTCCTCTTTTCTTCTGTCTTTAACCAAAGGCAAAGGCTAAACTTAGGCAAGACACTTAACCCCCATGGCCTATAGTGTGTGAATTATTGGCCCATACTGTTTGCCACGCTTCTATCATTCTGTTCCAAGGCAGCTGTGGCTACAGTGGTAGTTAATCAACATTGTGTATAGTATGGAATGAGTTGTGGACTTGAATACATTATTATTATCATTTGTTGTAAAAAAACATGACAAAATTGGGCAAACTTTTGTACTTTTGCAAGCCACTGCATGATGTTTTTCATTACAGCATATTACTGTGGTCTGTTTTTGATGAGGGAACAATGTAGTGACACAGTTAAAAACTAAGAATAATTTTATTTTAATGCTACACTATGTAACTTAGCTGGTGGAGGGTCTGCCACCTACTTGTCAGTAAACTGAATTTCCCAATTTATTCTATTGAGTTCGACGCATGCAAACCTGTGTGTGCTGATTGAGGTTTGAATAAACAGTTGTTTAGAATAACTCGATCAAACCATTTCTACTCTGTTTATGCTGACGTGTAACCCAATAAAGCGGCTACTACTACGACAAGGCATGCTTTTATTAGAACTCACTCATTTTGTTCATGGTGATGAAGGGCACAGCCCATCTGGACATTGTTTTATTTTGTTCAATGAGGAAAAGCATGGAGCCTTTAATAATTGCGCTGCAGAAATTAAATAACTTCGCTGCTGCAATTGAGCCGGTGTCAAAATCAACTGCTCAAAATAACAAGATGTTGCGTGATTACATCTGCCAAACATGTACTTTTATAATGCATTTGAGAGACATTTTATGTAACTAAGATGTGTACTGAGTATTCTTAGGCTTTGTAAACATACTCATCGTGAAGAGGAGTTGATGAAGTTGTTGGTCACAGGGTAATTCCAAAATGTGATTATTCGACATTGCTTATTGCCGCTGCTTGAAACCTATTCCGGCCTCTATCACTTTATTTCAACCCAACAGAACTCCCGCAGATCTTTCCCCCACAAACGATCTTAATGTTTATCTCCACACATTCCCTCTCCATGCCATGCCCCTCCTGTCCTCCGGCCAACCCGCGGGGCAGCCTGCTCGCGGCACGTCCTCTGCCCGTCCTGTGGCAGCTCATTTAAAACCAATCAGGCTGATTGCTGAGTTCTGCACTCGCAAGGCCCAGGTGATAAAGCAATTAAAGCCGCTATAATTCTACAGTCCAGAAAGGCTCGCTGTGCAATTAACTACATATAATGAAATCCTTTTGTTAGCTTGTGGTGCGCTTTTTGTTGTTGGTGACGCCTGTTTGAAGGGCAGTGGGGGGGTCAGGCGATGTGGAGGAGAAGGACCCAGGATGGAGAGGAGGCAGCGGTTAATAGGCTCTCTACGGACAGATGAGGTCCATTAGGAGGTTAATTCAAAAATGAATAGAGGACGTTGGAAATGAAGGAGACGGAGGAAAGGGCTTACTACTACAGAAATGCACAGCCAAATGTAGGAATGGGGACTTTTCTTTTTTTTATTTCTTTTTACATTAAAAAGGTGCAGTCTGGGAATAATAGGAGTCTTTACTGGAATAATGCTTTTAATGCTGATTCTGTTCTTTGCGGTCTATTGTGGGATTTGTTTGGGGCGGAGAGTCATTAGTATGTTTTGCTTTTTGTATTAAACTCATTATCTTTGCCCTAATTGGGGAGAATAAGGCTTAATCTCCAAGTAGTGACTTATTTTTCTTTGTTAATTCGCAGCTAGTAATTCTATCAGCAACTCGTGAAAGAAGTGAAGATATTAGGATGAATTTTTTGTGAACCCCCCTCCACCCAATGGACTGAACACAAACACACCTGCTATATGCGATCCATTCTGTAGGCTAAAAGAACCAGCTAATAAATCAATTATACATTCTTCTCACCTTCATAAGTAAACATACGGAACATTCAATTTGGAGCACCATTTCTTTTTTGTTTTGGTTTCATAAATACATGTTGTTTGTCCCGACTCTCTCTGACCCCTACATTCTGTATTTATCTTATTCGAAACATGTTATCTTTCACAAACTGATGTCGACTGAAGGCAGGTACTCTCTTTTTCACTGGAAAATTGGACGAAAAATAAATGAATGTAAATCCAATGATTGGACCAAAAATTTTGAGAGCAACGAGTTAGATGGATTTCCTTTTTTCTTTTTTGTGTAAAAAAAGAGTGACAATAGTTCTAGTTAAATGAACTGTCAGAAAGGTGTGTTTGTGCATAAATGGTCCCTACATTGTGACATAAGTGAAGACATAACGTGAATTGGACAGTTGCAGAATGCATTGTGCGTTCCGGTCGGAAACGGAAGTAGCTGCTTTAGTGATTCTTGATGCGAAAACAGCAAATACACTCTCAACGGGAACTTCAACATTGAATTAAAATGACACAACACTGGTTTAAAAGTAAAGCATCTAAAGCTTTGGTCGCATCATACATCCCCTTTAAGCTGTGGTTATTGTCTTTTTGGCCTTATCTTGGAGGAACGTTGGCACCCTGTGGAGTAAACTAATCAACTTTGTGTCATCATAAGACAGATTGGTTAAGTGTCTTACTATCAAGCACTTTGAAGTCATTGGAATTTAAGCAAAAACATGATTTAGTTGATAAGGATCACACAGTATTCACCATTCTAGCTATAAGAAGTCTAAAACAATGCATTAGAAATGCATATACAAACAATTCTAAATAGCTGTTGATCAACCCCATTAGCTGCTGGGATACTGTGCTGAATACATCTATCAAGAGTGTTGAGACCCTAGTGATAACCACTCCATGAGCAGGGTGTTGCTACAGACAAGGCAAAGCAGCCAAATACCGCACTCGCTGTATTATTAAGCTCACCTGTGGATAAACCTCACCAGCTCATTTTGGTCTATATAGGCTACACTGGAAAGTAAAACTGCAGGTTTTCATGTTGTAATGTAACACTTAACCAACAACTGAAAGGTGATAGACAAATGTTTTAACTGAACACAACAAGGTTTTTAACGCACTGTTGACTTGTCATGATCAAAGCCCGTAAATAGATGACCAAAACATTCCTACTAAAACAGATATTGTTATTTGTCCATAGTACATAGGTCTCCTACAGTACAGTTCTGATTGTTCACATAAACACACTGAAACAGGAATGTGTGCTAAAGAATCAGCTCTGGAGATCAACAGCTGAAAGGGCTGTGTCTAAATCCCTTCAAGTACTCCATGGGGGGTTCTAGACAAATAATAATACACCCCTGAAGACCTTCTATGACTCTTTGGTGGCATCAGCCTCTTGTACGGTGTGGTCTGCTGGAGCAGCAGCATCACAGAGAGGGACAGGAAGAAGCTGGACAAGGTCATCAGGAAGTCCAGCTCAGTCCTGGGCTGTTCCCTGGACACAGTGCAGCAGGTGGGGGACAGGAGGGTCCTGGAAAAACTAAAATCTATGCTGAACCGTGACTGTCATGCAGTACACTCTGACTGCTCTGGAGAGCAGTTTCAGTGACTTATTCTGTGTGCTCCTCATTCCTACTGTTCAGTAACTTGTAATGCAACACTGAAATTTCTCCGCTGTTGGACGAAGAAAGGACTACCTAATCGTAATCTAGGTTCGAACAAAGAAGTTCGAACATAGAAAATGCAATTATAACAAAGACATAGAAGCCATTGGTCAATAGGAGCAGAATGACCAATGCCCATAAATGGTGAACCCGACCTCCACATAATTGAATTTAATCGTAGCAATAACAGGAAGCTTGTTATTATTGCTGAATGGTTACAGCTGGGATACCTGAATAATTAGTCCCCAGCTCTCAAAACAGTCTCTTTCACATCATTTGAACAACTTTTTTCAGACTCAAAAGTTAAAAACAGATGACCACCCTCACTCAGCCAATCAACTCTCTGTCCAAAGATCAATTAGTGACTCACAGGACTCTGTCTTTACAAGTATGCAAAATATACCATGTTTGAATGCAAGACAATACATGGCAAGGTCCTGTGTTCAAAATCACACGGCAGTGTTTGTAGCTGGTTCAAATTTGGAAAAACTTCTTTCTCTAGTGGTAGCTTTGGGAGTTGCAGTTAGAATTGTTTCATAATGTGGCATATCATTTAACATATTCAAGAACGGGTCCCCTTATCATTTTAATGGCCACAAATAATGCATATTGTTTCTTCAAACTAGCAGTGGGTTTACACTGAAGGCCCTGAAAGACCTTTTATACATTGCTATACATTTGTTTATAAATTTTACAATTAAGAATTTTGAAGTGTGACACCACAACCCTATAGACCATAGCCAAACTCCACTACTGAATCTCAAATTTTTCTTCAAAACTGTTTTTTCTCGTCACCTAGCTCCAACTCTGACCGGCACCATCCACAAACGCTGCATATCTCCTCTATCTTATCTCTGCTCTTTGAAGACGCTAATTACCCCAAGTTCTCACCGCTGACCCAGCTGCTCTCCGGGACAGCCCGCCTCATCCCCAGAACTCTGCTGAACCCTATCACTTCCCGTCCACGGGGCCATCTCCTTAAACATTGAGGCATTGTTCGGATGCAGACCCGGCCTCCCTGTTCCCCCATTTATGCCCCCCCCCCTCCAGCCACCCCAGTTACAGAAGGGCAGAATCTGATCCGGAGCCAGTGGTGTGTGGATAATGAAGGGGTTAGCGGGAGCACGGGGAGGCCCGGTAATTCTCCACACAGCCACCGGGGGACTGGCTTTTTGGGTGGGGTTCGGATGAGTAGGCTTGCTCCACCATGCGTGCCAACAGTTGAGAGCAGTGACAGCCGCTACCCAAATCCACGGCTGGCCATGAATGTGTTACATATAGATACAGTAAGGAGGTCAGTCAGGATTTCTGCCGTGTGAATGTATTGGTTTTTTATCTGTGTGGTTTGAATGACGCAACAAATTATTTTCTGCAAGGTCTAAGGCAAAAATACTGATGTTATTTCGGTTTTAGAGCGGTTGTTCCAAAATGGACACACATCGAATCTCAATAATGTAGCCAGCCATCCACACGCCACAACCACCAAATTTATATTCTATACAATGCATTAATCTGGTGCCCCTGTCAAATGTCAGATTTCCAGTGGGCAGAGCAAATGAACACATGACAATTGGCCTAGAATTGTGATGGCTTTGACAGTCAGATTCCAAATATATAGGCCATGCTATAGCTATGAGCTGGAGCAGAAAGAGTAAAAGTTGACGGTTGTTAAAAGTTTTCTAAATGTTGTAATGCTGGTAATGAAATGCAAAAGTCCTTATAAAATAAGTTTGGCACGTGTGTTTTTCATTCATGCAGTCCTTTACTGGGCTTGCAGGTTATAAATGAGGATGCAACATTTGTATTTTTAAATTACCACCAGAGACTATCTTGTTTTACATGTGTCTGATTATAATAAAGCTATAATAAAGACCTACAAACATTTTTTGTGTCTTTTTCTGTGAACAAAAAGGACCACAACATGCTTGTCTTCATCTTCTATCTTTTGCTTACTTGTAAAAAAGAGGCCTGAAAGTCACTATTCAACGCTTTTGAGACCTGATTGGCTGAAGGAGGGTGGTCTTCTCTCCTTCACTTTTCTGTCTGAAAAAAAGGTGATCTAAAGATGTGACAAAGGCAAAAAAAAATGAATGCGCAGTTAACAGTGTTAGGAAGAACATTGAACATTTATTCCGTTCCAGAACACTGAATACGTGACCTAAATTGTATTTTGTATAGTATTCTGTTACTTTTGAAAAAGTAGTACCTATATTCCGGATACTTAGAACAATTTTAATTATTCATTTTGTATAATTTATATTTATTGTAAATTAGATTTTTTATTACAACGCTTATAAAGGTGCATTTCAAAATATTTAAAACCTAAACCTCAATAAATGTTTAAATAATTACAACATTTATTCAAATTAAAAGTTTGTGTGTAATTATTCAATAATGTGTCGTTTATTTTTGTAAAACAAATCCAAATGCTTCAACTGCGGCCATTTAACAACCAGAAAAAACAAAATCTGAAAAAGTATGTATTCCTGTGATTTTTTTAAAGTAACTTTATTCAAAATTCAAAAAAACTCTGGTAGCGAAAAGCCAGTGAGGGAACCAAGGGACTACATGGATGTTTAGGTACCCCAGCTTTAATGTGAGCATGCAGTTTGTATTGAATCCAATTTGAATGTGTATAAAAGATGTATAGGCTAAACCTCTAGGGCATCAAAAAGTCATGAGTGAAAATAAATGATATGGTCTTTTATATTCCGTCTTTCTGAAGGTCCCACCACTCACATTTGACAAGACTTAAGCTTGTAAAAAGACTTGTCATTCAGGAGGTGTTCGGTCCAATCAGAGAGGAGGGATGTTTAAAAAGGCTCTCTCTCCTCTCAAGCTGGCAGACAATGCAATGCTCATAAAGTGATCACATCTAGGCTTTGTAGTTAAAGTTTAATTGTTTTGTTATTCACCCATGTTTTTTAAGCTCTTTTCAGAACTTTCAAGTATCATAGAGGGCCTTAGTCACAGTACGCAAAAATCACATTAGCAGCACACTTCATAAACCGGTCACATTGATAGATGTAAGTTATGTACATGGCTTTAAAACGGCCAGTGCAAAGTGTTTTTGGTCAAGTTTAAAGGGGGGGTACCTAACTTTACTAACTACAGTAAATAATACATTCAACATTGTCTCAACAGAAAGAGTCTTGTACAAATACACAATAAATCAGAATACAAGCCACGACATGTCTTATTGGAAAACATTCTTATAAGAAAGCGCCTTGTGAGCTGCTACTTGATGCTTTGAGCTGATTGGCTGAGTGAACATGGTCGAAGGCATAAAATACATGCCAGTTTAGAAGTCAAGGTAAAATCACTTGCAAGATCAATTTTATTGTAGTTTTATGCTTTGAAAGTGAGGTACCCCAGATTTAAGTAGGTCATAGGATTTACTTACATCTACATTTCCCTATTTCCAATGCGCTAAAAATCCATCTTTGTCTGTGTCATTTTCAACAAAACAATGGCACGTGAAGAGGCTCCTTGTCTATTGTGCGTCCCGAGTTCATCATCGCCCCATTGTGGTGCGTGTGGGAGTGCCCCAGCTCGATCTGAGGTCAGCGAATTAGCATATTCTGTGAGCAAACGGTTATCCGCGGCGTGGGCGTGCACTCCTCAAGGGGGGTCACCTTAAACATCAGGAGAAAGACGCCACGAGACCCCCGGCGCACCGCGGGGTTAACCATCGCCCCTTCATTATGATAAAGACGTGCAAAACTACTCTAATACTGTCAATAGAGTCGTACAGTCCTGGTCGGCCTCTCTCTCGCCAGGGCCCCCGCCATCCATCATCTGAATACTGCGAATCATTGCCGATCATTACGGTAAGACGCACGGGGCCGGTGATTGGCTGTGATTGGTGGATCGCAGGGTTGGTTGGGGTGATCCATCAAGCCACATGGCACGCTAACACCTCCGCGTGATGGGGTTCACCTCAGGGGTCAGGGCCGGGGCAGACCCTCCCTCGCTGTCCTCACAACAATAACTACTATCATGGTCACTTACCAGCCACGAGGTTCCCTGAGTGCAAGGTACGATGTGCACGGTGGCCTACAGTGCTAATATTATAACAGTCGATCATCGTCGGTTGGAGAGAATTTATGTGTGCCAGCGGTGAGTCACATTAGCATATCACCATCAAGCACTCGCTAGTACTTTTCTTAACTACTCATTATTTTGTACAAGTCACCAATGATTAGTACATTTTTGCTTTTAACCGTGAATGAAAACTAAGCACATATGGTGAAATAGAACAGTGTGTAATAATCAGATATGGCAACTGACTAAATATCTTTACCCCGGTTCCTCACTCGCTGTTTCATGGATTTTTAGGTGAAAGTTTGCATGATTTTTTTTTACAGCGGCTTCTCATAGACAAGGGACTACTGTACTTAAGTGTATTTCCTGATATTAGTATCAGTTGACTACTACTACTACTACTCCTCACTTATAAACACAGCCTCTACTTTCTATTCCTTGTGTTAAAATTACGAGTTTCTTTGCAGAAGGTGACACAACATAAAAACAGGTTCAAAGATGCTTCTAAGTTCTACAGTTGAAACACGGAAAAACCGATTATCTCTCAAAAGTTCATGTATGTCTGTAATGCAATTGAAAATGTGAAACCTATTGATGATATAGACTTATTACCTGCAAAGTGACGTATGTCAAGCCTGTGTTTGATACAATGTCAATGATTATGGCTCACAGTCCATTTTATTTGGGTTTTTACAGCTGTGAGCCAATTATCAACATAATAACAAATAAAGGCTTAATATATCTTAAATTGTGAGTAATAAGTCTGTCTCATATTAGTTTCACATTCATGTTTTTACCTTTAAACCATATTCTAATTTTCCAAGATAAAAAATAAATTTTACTTTTTGACTTTAATATAAACTTTGACTTTAATAAAAGAGTTTATTTCTACAGTAATTATACTTGTATCGGTATACTAAAATTACACACTAGCAAAACCTTTTTTTTTTGCAAACATAGACAAGAGTATCCAGTTAGTCCATGGGACCATAGTGGTCTAGCTGTTCAAAAGCTGAGCTGGTGCCACTACATCATGCACTCTACTCTCCTCTCCAACCGAGCAATCAGTATACCTTTTACTATTACAGTAGTACTGTCAGTGTAATTTGTCTACATTAAATACTAAACACGCTGAAACCAGTAGGTTGTATTATTTGTAGTGCTGTCCAACGATTAAAATATTTAATCGCGATTAATCGCATGAATTTCATAGTTAACTCGCGATTAATCGCAAATTAGTCACCCATTTGCGTGCTGTGTGCAATTTCTTTTTTTATTGAAAACAATGTGTAGTGTTATATTACACACTAACATTTGATGCAAAATCATCAATAAATGGATGACAAAATAAATAATTGGTAACAAAAAGCCCCTTCAATGTGTGTGTGTGTGTGTGTGGAGTGTGTGTGTTTATGGGTGTGGGTGTGTGTGTGTGTGTGGGTGTGTGTGTGTATGTGTGGGTATAGACCATAGACTGTATAGAAACATCATGGTGTCATTATGATGATGATAAACAATTTTTTTGTAAATTTTTCATGTAAATACTCTATAGTGTTTCTCTGTTTACTTTCGGTATATCTATGACTGTATACTGTTTGCTTGTATTGCCTTTTTTATTAACCCCTCCCCCCCATCTCCCACTTCATGTCCCCCCCCCCCCTCCTATGTGCCCTTCTGGGTTTCTTCTTTGGCCCCCTGTATCTCCAACTACATATTGTTTGTAATCTCTGTCTACAATGTATCTTAACTAGTCCTTTTCTTTGTGTCTATTTTTTTCTGTATATGTGTTTGTCTGCAATAAAAAGTAATAAAAAAAAAAAAAAAAAAAAAAATTTTTTTTTTTTTTTTTTTTTTTAATAATTATAAAAAAAATTAATGGCGATAAAAAAAATGACGCCGTTAATATTGATTTGCGTTAACGCGTTAATAACGCGATATTTTGGACAGCACTAATTATTTGTAATTATTAATTCTAAACTACTAGTTTAATTAATTCCTAACAAATGTGTTTTGGAGTACCAATTTTTTTCATTCACTCCACACTCTCTAATTCATACACACTATTGTACATAGATAACCTACAGGAAGACAGAGGGAGAAAATGCAAACTCCACAGAGAAATTATTGTCTGCAAACACAGCCAAGTGATTGTAAAGAACGTAATTTCCAACACTAATTTGAGGGGAATAACTTTAGTTTTAAAACTTAATGTATCTGTATTCTAAATATAAACTCTTTAAATTGTCACTTGTCTGCGTCAAAAGCAGCATAAATCAAACACTAGTGTCTTGGCGTATATGCCGTGTACTCAGCTCTGCTCCTGACCCCATCCGGCTCTCTCCAAAACTAACCTGGAGGCTACGTGTTGTCATCCAAATGAGATAAGTTTATTTTCCCTAGCCCAGCATTTGTTCCATCAGCCTGTAGGGTCGCGGTGGGGAGTCCCTCTTCAGCACCTGCAGCTCGGAGCAAGGTGGCCCACTATACCGCCGCCAGACTTTGGCCGCTGCCCAAATATCTGCCCGCGCCTTCTGTGCCAGAGCGCCAAGCCTTAGGAAAACCAGGAGGCTGCAATATTGTGGAACAAATGTGGGCTAATGCCGGCCGGCTGGTGTGGGGGGCCGCGTGGGGTCCTCGTACGGCGCGTAGTGATCTCCGAGAGGCCCTGTCAACGAGAAGAGGGAAATAAACAGGACACATGCGGAGAGGCGAGGAAGGAAGTGTTGGAGGTGAACTGGCACCGGTCTGGCTTCTGCTGGGGAAGACTTGTGCACTGTGATGTGAAATTAGTTTTGGGAGGTTTTTTTTATTTGAGTATAAACGCACAATAATCAGTTTGAATAAATGTTGTGGGAGTAGCCACAAAACATATTTCAACTGTATCCATGTATTTACAGTTTAACCTGGTGCATATGGAATAATTTATACTATCTTCATCCATAACAAACATACAAACCTAATTCTATACTTTTAAGTAATTATTGGTTTTTTATATTTCTTATAAAGTATGTTATTAAATGTGGTGTTGTAATTGTTATTCACCGTGTGAACATTTTGTTGAAACTTCAGATAAATGTTCAAAACTAATTTACATTAATTCTTTCAAATCAAGATTTGAATGCAGTTATTGTATTATTTATCTATTTAATTTGAATTATGGCTCATTGAAATTTTCTGTGCATGATTAACATGACGGCACAGCATGTAACTGTCCCTTCATCTTATAGAGAAAACATGTACAAAGCAAACATTGGAAGTTTTAGCAAATAAGCAAAGCACAAGGCTTAACCTATTTAGATTTACTTAGAATTGATTATGTTTATCGTTTTGGTGTTTTTCTGCTGATAGTTCCTTCATGTACTGTTTAAGGTCCAGCTAGCTTCACTAAAATCTAAAACCTGTATTTCCCATTACATATAATGTGAATGTGAATAAGTATCAAAGTCTAGCTCCCTCCAAAGCCGGTGTGATGCTGTCACATATTAGGTATGAGAGCTGATAAGTAGCTCCCCTCCTGAATACAAAGAAGAGCCAGTCCGATCAGTCTGCCTGCGCTGGAGCAGACCAGTGTCCTGTGAAGTGTGTTATTATTGGAAAATAATATTTGAAATGATTTTCCTGATCACTGAGTTATCTCCTGGAATTCTTCCACCTCCAGAGAAAAGTTCGGCAAAATGAACAAAACAAACAGAAAGTCAGTCAAGTACAGTGAGGGAAATTTATTTTTCCTGTTCCAAAAACTGACTTTCCATTTTTCATCATAATTTGTAATAGATAACAATTAAAGCCTCGAGTGCATGAGAGGAGAGAGATTACCCTCTGTCGGAAAAAAAACTCAGTGTGGAGTTCACTTTTCAGATTTCAACAAAACAAGTTTGCGCGAGTGTGGGTTTGCCTTTTTATCTCTATTTAACGATACGTATGGTAATCTTAGAAAATACTGTCTGTAATTTTAATACTTTGGAAAAACAGTATATTTGTAGTTGTATATACAAAACAAATAATGAGAACAGTTCCAGACCCATGTACTATGCAGATGCAGAAAATAACTTTGAGTGGCAGCTCATCCTGGTCTGTGAAAAACAGGAAGAACCATGTGGATCATAGCAAGCCTTTTCTGCTAACAGATATAACCTATGACAGTGCATCATGATCAAACTTAATATTCCCTTATCTTGTGTTGTCTGTTCTTCATTCCTACTGTTATGTAACTTGTGATGCAATTGCAAGTGAAATTTCCACATTGTGTAATAAATAAATTATCTTTTAAAGGTAAAAATGGGGATAATTAGAGCAACGGCCCCCCCCCGAACATCACTCAGAATAAAACTATCTAGTAAATGACAAACAATTTAAATAATGGTTTTTAGCACATTTATCATGACTAACAAAGAAGTTTATATCTGAGCAATCCACTAAACAGAACAATGCAACTATCCTTGCTCTTGTTCAGTTCTATCTCTTGTTTTCCCAAACACGTTATTTTTGGCCTCTATCTCACAAAATGTTACTTTTCTAACTCCCTTCATGTTGGGACAAACAATGTGTATTATGTATGAACAAAGAAATGTAGCTTTAAATTCTAATATTTGTGTAACTAACATACACATAACTGAGAACATCCACTACAGCACGGTTATGGTAAGAC